ATCACAATACTGGTCACTAATTCCTGTAAATAAATAATTGACCACACGTTTATTTTGTAAAGGCACCTAAGAAGTTGTTTGAAGATTCCTAGATTGACGAAATAATGCTGTGGTGCTGTGGCTAGTGCTGTGAACATCATTGAATCACTGATATTTGAACATTGTACACAGTCATTATCACACTCAGGCTTTTCTGTAATACTATCATGGCTACAATAATACATATAGTTTATATATATATATATATATATATATATATATATATATATATATATATATATATATATATATATATATATATATATATATATATATATATATATATATATATATATATATATATACAGAGCACCACTTGGTTTCCGAACCCCTTGGGGACGAGACCCGTCGGTTAACATGTAAGTTCGTATACGAGAAATAGAGGGGAAAAATAAACTAGAAATGTAAAAAGAAATTTTTCCGAAAAATTTATGAAAAAAAACTCTAGGGAAAAAAATCGTCAGGTTCATGGCGTAAATGCGACCGTGTTTTGTTTGTACTCATCAATAAGTGAAGTCCTGATCCGCTTTATAAAAGTCCTTAATTGTTCCTAACTGATTATTAAGACGTCTGGCAAACATCCTCTGGATGTTTCCTGCCAGCCTGCAGGCACATCCTGCCTAAAATATACGATGATGTACTGTACATTTAAGAAACAATCTGGGTCACAGGTCTGTGGAGTGTGGTTAGGCTTACGGAGTCAGCCGGTCCCTCCCCCACCACCAACACACCCCCCCCTCTCCCCCCACCACCGACACACCCCCCCCTCTCCCCCCACCACCGACACACCCCCCCTCTCCCCCCACCACCGACACACCCCCCCTCTCCCCCCACCACCGACACACCCCCCCCTCTCCCCCCCCCCACCGACACACCTCCCCCTCTCCCCCCACCACCGACACACCTCCCCCTCTCCCCCCACCACCGACACACCTCCCCATCTCCCCCCACCACCGACACACCTCCCCCTCTCCCCCCACCACCGACACACCTCCCCCTCTCCCCCCCACCACCGACACACCTCCCCCTCTCCCCCCACCACTGACACACCTCCCCCACCCCCCACCCTAAACCCATACACACACACACACACACACTCTCAAAGGTCACGTGGTTCACAGTTCACTTCAACACCCATATATCGCTTCCTGCCTGCCTGCCTCCTTCCCACCCTGCCAGCCTGCTTCCTTCCCAGCCTGCCTCCTTCCCAGCCTGCCTCCTTCCCAGCCTGCCTCCTTCCCAGCCTGCCTGCCTGCCTCCTTCCCAGCCTGCCAGCCTGCCTCCTTCTCAGCCTGCCAGCCTGCCTCCTTGCCAGCCTGCCTCCTTCCCAGCCTGCCAGCCTGCCTCCTTCCCAGCCTGCCAGCCTGCCTCCTTCCCAGCCTGCCAGCCTGCCTCCTTGCCAGCCTGCCTCCTTCCCAGCCTGCCAGCCTGCCTCCTTCCCAGCCTGCCTCCTTCCCAGCCTGCCAGCCTGCCTCCTTCCCAGCCTGCCAGCCTGCCTCCTTCCCAGCCTGCCTCCTTCCCAGCCTGCCTCCTTCCCAGCCTGCCTCCTTCCCAGCCTGCCTCCTTCCCAGCCTGCCAGCCTGCTTCCTTCCCAGCCTGCCTCCTTCCCAGCCTGCCTTCTTCCCAGCCTACCTCCTTCCCAGCCTGCCAGCCTGCCTGCCAGCCTGCTTCCTTCCCAGCCTGCCTCCTTCCCAGCCTGCCAGCCTGCCTGCCTGCCTCCTTCCCAGCCTGCCAGCCTGCCTGCCTGCCTCCTTCCCAGCCTGCCAGCCTGCCTCCTTCCCAGCCTGCCAGCCTGCCAGCCAGCCTGCCAGCCAGCCTGCCTGCCAGCCTGCCTGCCTGCCTGTCAGCCTGCCTGCCTGTCAGCCTGCCTGCCTGTCAGCCTTCTTCCTTTCCAGCCAGCCTGCCTGCCTGTCAGCCTTCTTCCTTTCCAGCCAGCCTGCCTGCCTGTCAGCCTTCTTCCTTTCCAGCCAGCCTGCCTCTCCCCCTGCCATCATGCTAACGGGTAGTGTGTGTTAGGCTTATCTTCGGGAATGAGCCGGTCTCGCCCCCACCACCAACAAACCACCCGCCCCCCTACATCCCATCTCTCAAGGTCACGCGGTTCAACCTCGTGACTACCACTCACTCCCTGCCTGCAAGCTAGCCTGCCTGCCTGCCTGCCTGCCTGCCTGCCTGTGCCTGCCTGCCTGTGCCTGCCAGCCTGCCTTTCCCTCCCTAATTCTCACTACTTCCATCCCTTCCTGCCTACCTCCTAGCATCTCTCCCTACCTCCCCCTCCCTCTTAGCATCTCTCCCTACCTCCTAACATCTCTCCCTACCTCCCCCTCCCTCCTAGCATCTCTCTCCCCCCCTCTCTCACTGATTCTCCCCTCCCCTTCCCCCAAAATAATAGGAATAATAGGCCGTGAATCTGTGAAGTCACAGTGGGCAAACTGGACCATCGCCCACCCACCACCACAAGCCGTCGTGACGCTTGGTGGACCCCTTCCTTCGGGTAGCATGACTCCCCAACCCCAATCGGGAAACTGGAAGTTTCGGATAACTAAAGTTCGGAAACCAAGTGGTGCTCTGTATATATATATATATATATTTATATATATATATATATATATATATATATATATATATATATATATATATATATATATATATATATATATATATATATATATATATATATATATATATATATATATATATATATATATATATATATATATATATATATATATATATATATATATATATATATATATATATATATATATATATATATATATATATATATATATATATATATATATGTTGTACCTAGTAGCCAGAACGCACTTCTGAGCCTACTATGCAATGCCTGATTTGCCTAATAAGCCAAGTTTTCTGGAATTAATATATTTTCTCTAATTTTTTTCTTATGAAATGATAAAGCTACCCATTTCATTATGTATGAGGTCAATTTCTTTTTATTGGAGTTAAAATTAACGTAGATATATGACTGAACTTAACCAACCCTACCTAACCTAACCTAACCTATCTCTATAGGTTAGGTTAGGTTAGGTAGCCAAAAAAGTTAGGTTAGGTTAGGTTAGGTAGGTTAGGTAGTCAAAAAACAATTAATTCATGAAAATTTGGCTTATTAGGCAAATCGGGCCTTGCATAGTAGGCTGAGAAGTGCGTTCTGGCTACTAGGTACGACATATATATATATATATATATATATATATATATATATATATATATATATATATATATATATATATATATATATATATATATATATATTATATTATATATATAGACATTATTAGGCGATGCTGAGGTCACAAGCTGAACAGCAGTGCTGTGAGCACTGCTGTTCACAGCAGTGCTCAAGTGCTGTTCACAGCAGTGCTCACGAAGGTTGCGTGCGCCAGCCTTGGTTGCTCACTCACTACTGAGGCTCTCACACCCGGGAATGTGGACCACGATTTTTTTTTAAGATGGTGTCTGTTTACAAGAGCCCTGAGGAAGCTGAGGGAACCCCATGTAGCCACGGGAGTTTTGAATGGAACGTGAAAAATACAAATACCCGGAGGCGCGTTGCGCAAACCAGATGAGGGCCTGCAGGTGTGTTGCGCAGTTTATGGGTTAATTGCTAGGGTAACCGTCTTCCTCTTAACACCACCAGAATGATTGATGACACTGCCAGACATAGTCTTGCCAAAAAATTATCAAAGTTACTATGAAAACAAAAAAGGTATTTAAGAAAATATTTCACTAATAGTGTGGCACTGATGTATAATGCAAGGGGTCAGGAGCACATGGACTGTTTGGCTTGAACAGGCCTGGACGGGTCTACTTGGGGCAGGTAGGCACGTTACATAGGCCACTAGGCAGAAAAAAATCCAAAATATTTTTGGCGCAAACTTCAGCCTGTGCAAATTGCTTTTTAAGACACTTGTATTTGTTATAATACAGTATTATATAATATTTCTTTTGTTTTTAACTGTGATAAATTGTTCTAAAATTATTGGTAATTATAAGCCCCTCCACATGCCCCCTTATCCCTCAGGCAGTTCCTCCCAACGCTCCCCTCACTCCAGACACCACCCACCCTACAACGCGCCTGGAGCCACAGCCATATGGGATTAATACAGTATGGCCCGATGCCTGACTTTCTGATTCGCAATAATCTCCTGTTATCCGGCTTACAGTCTGGATTGGGCAACATTGGTAGAAGTTAACAGAATCAGATTTCAACTATCAGTATTCGCCAATTCAGACAAATATCCAGTAGTTCGGCTTCTATGGACATTCTGTCCAGATAGAGATATAACATTATCTGGACACAATTTTGGCCAGATTAGGGGGTTTTCCGGATCGGCGGGATTTGGATTAGTAAATTAATACAATACAGAGCAAGAAATTTAAATGTTCAAGGTACAGTACAAATAGCCTGGAGATTTGATCCACAGAGCTAGATATCACTCCATATAGACAATAACAGGTAAGCACAAATAGACAGTGCCCTGTGTAGTCATTACACTCTTTGTACTCATTTAATAACCAGTTATCATGTCATAAAGTTTGATGGCCTTGGGGGATATCCATCTTGATTGTTTTTTTTTTCTTATTATGTTCTACCACCAGAATACATCTTGATTTTTGTCATGTAATCAATCATGTTAAATTGTGTACATTTTCACAAAAAACGTATGAAGGGGATTCATTTATATTTCTAATACAGCATTACATAATATTGTTTATATTATGAGAGGGGGGAATGATTTCTAGTCATTATTAAGTTGTAGTTTCGTGCCTGTCTGTCACAATGTCAGTGTATCTGCTAGTGTTTTTGTGTCTACTACAGTGTCCATGTGTCTAGCACAGTATCATTATGTCTGCTTCTGTTACAGTGTCTGCCTGGTATGCAACTATACATTTGATGATTATTAGTTACTAAATTCATATTTTGATTCTTTCAGGTAGCTAACGTTTGTAACGTCTCGGAGAACTATGTCGAAGATGACTTCATTAATATTAAAGAAGGTAAGGTTAATTTAACGTGTTAACCCTTAAACAGCGCAATACATACATATATGATTGGAGTAACTGTCACAAAATGGCCCAAATAATATATATATATATGATTTGCATATTTAAAATAGTTAAAATAGTACTGTACGTACAACGAGCTCACATCTGCTTCCTCAGACCACAGTAACCACCCCCCATCTTGAAAAAGATCCAGAGTCCCTCACTTTCCTGCTAGGGCCTTAGTAAGAATATGATGACCATTGCTTGGCAACATCACCATCCAGTGTCTGAATGTTTAGGGCAGCCACAGAGGAGACATTATACTTTTAGCAACAGCAAATGAGTGATTACCATGTATATATTTGAGGCAAAATGTGTGCTATATGCATTTTTAAAATTTAGGCTTATAATATATATATATACATGTATTATTATGAATAAGTATGTCGGTGTCTGTATATCTATACTTGTATATCTATACATACTTATATTTTCAAAGTTTTACATAATAGACAGTAACTTTGACACAAATACAACCTGTTAGCATGAAAAAACTAAATAAATAAATTGAGAAACAATGAAAATAAATTAACAAAATTATTCCTATGCAGCACCTCAATTAAAAATATGCAACTTCTCCAGGCCACTACAGCTAAACCACAAGAGCTACACACTTTTTATTTGGATTTTTGTGCTTCCTGAAGGCTAATTAACAATGTCATAAGAAAAAAAAGTCAGATTTTTTTTTTCTTGAGCACCCTGGGGATGTTGGCTATTTAACAGTTAGCGGTTTAACCCCTCAACTGCGCAACGCACCTGCAGGCCCTCAACGGGGGTGCGCAACGTGCCTCCGGGTATTTGTATTTTTCATGTTCCATTCAAAACTGGCGAGCGGTGACCCGGGTATGAAATAGATACCTGGAGACCCCAGTGATCATCCACCATCTTGAAAATAAATCCCAGCATGCCCTGCAGCCATGGGGAGCCTCAGTTTCAAAGCAGCAACCATGTCTGACACATTGTCTACGAGCTCCCGCTCCACGGTGACCCGCGGTCATGGAAAACGACTCTCTGAGGAGAAGATATGCGACATTTTGTATGATGACAGTGCTATGGATGATGACTTAGACTATGATCCAGAGAAAGACCTTACACAGAGGTCTGATACGAGTGAGGGAGAGACTGAGGTGGATGATGTGGCGAGCGTGTACGGTACAAGAGCCTCGCCTGGCCTGCCACGCCGCCCTGGGTCAACCCCGTTATCATCACCACCACCATGTATGTCCCCAGACGCAAGTTTATTCAGTGACAGTACATGCGATGAATCTTTCTTGGGCTTCAACGACATAGGCTCCGATGCGAGTAGTGTGGACGACCTGAGTACGAGCAGCGAGGGTGTTACCAGGCGGGCTTTTGCTGCCTCAGCAACACGTTGCGGCAGGTGGCAGCGTGTCTCGCAGCAACAGGACAATGACGACAGCGGCCCCTCTACATCAGGTGTTCGTGGTAGGCCTACGTTACGTAGATCTGCCTCATCGCCTAACATACCCTCACACAGCTCTAGCACCAGATGACGTAGCTGTGTTTTTGGTGCTCGTGGTGGTGGTGGCCGTGGTGTTGGCGCCAACATCAAACCCTCGGGTGTGGGAGGATTGTTTCACATTTGTTCCACAAATATCAATGTTTGATGCTACCGATGTTGGTGTTACACCGTTATTCCCGTATGCAGGTGATGATATGGCAGAAATGGAATATTCTCAGGCGTATTTCGACAATGAATTCATGACCCATCTTGTGACCGAGACAAACAGGTACGCTCACGGCCTCATAGACACTGGCATTTTACCTGCCGCACCTTGGCAGGTAAAACCTTCGTAGGTGCAAACCCTCGTTTGCACCTTCGGTCGTGGTGCAGTATATTCAAGCTGCTTCAGTCAGTTGCCGTCGTATGTCTGACTTGTTGGCTCTCCAGGGGTGCCAGGGGGAAGCCTTCCCGGAGGGGTCGTGCCATGGCTCAGGGTTCCTCTCGTCGTGGTAGTGGTAGGCCGCAGGTGCCAGTTTCGGGTTCGGCTCCGCCTTCGGACCCCGCCTTCGTCTGGTCGGAGTGGTGCTTGCCCTGTGCGGGGTTTTGGGTCTCGCAAGGGGGTCCCGGCTCTTTCGCTGTTCGCCCCATGGGGCGATGAGGAGGAAACGTCCGCTGTTCGCTTATGCCTGGTCCCGATTTGTGGGCATTTCGGGTCTTTCCTTCGACCTGCGGTGGCGTTGGGTGGCCATTGCCTACCCCTTTGGGGGCTTCGGGGCTAGCGGGGCAGGCCTCTTCTCCTGCGCTCCGTCGAGTCGTCTTGGAGTGGGTTCGCTTGGGCGTCGTCGAAACGACGTCGTCCCTTAGGTTGGTTTCACGTCTGTTTCCAGTGCCGAAATAGGACTGTGTGGACCTGCGGTTCATTCTGGACTTGTCCCATCTGAACCCCTGGATTTATTGCCCCTCCTTCAGATGACTATGCTGTCCCAGGTTCGACTCCTGTTGGAGCCAGGTTCTTGGATGGTGTCCCTGGACCTCCGGGACGCTTATTGGCGTGTCCCGATTCATCTGGGGTTCAGGGACTGGCTCGGTTTTGTGATGGGGCGTCAAGGTTACAGTTTTCGTTGTATCCCGTTCGGGTTGAATCTGGCACCTCGCATGTTCACAAGCCTTACCCAGGTCGTCGTGGCCCGTCTGCGTCTCTTAGGTGTTCGGGTGTTGGCCTTCCTCAATGACTAGCTGGTTTGGGCTCCCAGCCAATCCTCTTGTCTGCTAGCCAGGAATTTGGTTTTTTTCCAGCTCGCCGGGTTCGGGTTCTTGGTGAACTAGAGGAAGTCCCATCTGGTTCCCTCCCAGGTTCGGTCGTGGCTGGGTCTTGTGTGGGACTCTAGGACCGCCTCCTTGTCTCTTTCTCTGGAGTCTCTCCTCTGGCTGCAATCCAGTTTGCACCTGTTTCTGGGGGGCTCACGGGTCACCCGGCAGTTGCTCAAAGGGTTTGTGCGAGTACCTGAACTTCGCGATGATGGTCTACCTGCTGGGTCGGGTTTGGCTTTGTCGCCTGTTCTGATTCCTTCGAGGATGTTCCTTCCTCCTCTCTCGCGATCGCTGGGTTAGACCCCCGGGGCCTTGCGTCGGCTACTGCGTCGCCGGTTTCCTCTTCGAGTTTTTCAGGGTTCTGTGTCTTGGCGTCTACCCGAGCCCTCGCTCGATGTGTTCTCGGACGCGTCGTCTCTTAGCTGGGGCTTTGTAGACCAGTGCTCACCAGGCCGGCCAGGGATGGTGGGGTCCGTTCTTCCGTCGAGCCCACAATACAGTGTGGGAGTTCGCGGCGGTGTGGTTTGCCCTTCGGAGGATTCGGGTGTCCCGCGGATTGACAATCCGGCTCTATTCGACTGCTCCCTGGTGGTTCATTGCCTGAACCGAGGGGGTTCGATGCGGTCCTTGGCTCTTTAGTGCTGGTCGCTTTGGGTGACTCGTCCGGTGAGTTCTCGGGGTTTGACTCCTGGCTGTTTCCGTGCGGGGAGTGTTCAACGTCCTGGCCGACGGCCTGTCTCATTTTGTTCCCCCTTTCCACGGAATGGACGGTCGACGCCGACTCCTTCCGTTGGCTCTGCCAGACGTTTGGACGCCCCGAGGTGGACCTCTTCGCGTCGGTGTGGTCGCGGCGCCTCCCCTTTATGTGGCGCCCTTCCCCGACTGCGAGGCTGTCGGGGTCGATGCCTTTCGGCAGGACTGGTCGAGATGGGGGTTCCTGTACCTCTTTTCCCCGGTTCAGCTGTTGCTCCAGGTCCTGACTCGTTTGGAGACTTACCAGGGGAGAGTAGTCCTCATGACCCCTGTGGTGGCCGGCCCCGCTGTGGTTTCAGGCGCTGCTTGCTCGGTGTGTGTGAACCCGGAGGTTTTCCCGTGGCTCCGCCTCTTCCAGCAGAACGGACCGGAGCATCACGTGGCTGGTTCGATCTTCTCCTCAAGTCTTCACGTACCTCGAGTTACCGCTTTCGTTGTCTCCCGTTCGGGTTGAACCTGGCACCTCGCGTGTTCACGCGCCTTACACGGGTTGTGGTGGCTTGTTTGCGTCTCCTAGGTGTTCGGGTGTTGGCCTACCTCGACGACTGGCTGGTTTGGGCTCCCAGCCAGTCAGCTTGCTTGCTAGCCAGGGATTTGGTTCTTTCCCAGCTCGCCGGGTTCGGGTTCTTGGTGAACTGGAGGAAGTCCCATCTGGTTCCCTCTCAGGTTCGGACTTGGCTGGGTCTTGTTTGGGACTCTCGAACCGCCTCCTTGTCTCTCCCTCCGGAGTCTCTCCTGCGGCTGCGGTCCCGCCTTCGTCTGTTTCTGGAGGGCCCTCAAGTCACCCGGCGGTTGCTCGAGGGGCTGTGCGGGAGCCTGAACTTCGCGATGGTGGTCTACCCGCCGGGTCAGGTTTGTCTTCGACGGCTGTTCTGGTTCCTTCGGGGTTCCCCCTTCCGCTTCTCTCGCGATCGCAGAGTTCGACCCCCGGGGGCCTTGCGTCGGTTGCTGCGTCACCGGCTTCCTCTTCGGGTTTTTCGGGATTCAGTGCCTTGGCGCCTACCCGAGCCCTCGCTCGATGTGTACACGGATGCGTCGTCTCTCGGCTGGGGTTTTGTGACCAGTGCTCACCAGGCCGGCCAGGGGCGTTGGGATCCGTCCTTCTGTTGAGCTCACAGCACGGTGCGGGAGTTCGCGGCAGTGTGGTTTGCTCTGGGGAGGATTCGGGTGGCCCGCGGATCGACGATTCGGCTCCATTCGGACTGCTCTCCGGTGGTTCATTGCCTGAACCGCGGGGGTTCGATGCGGTCCTTGTCTCTTTGGGGTTGGTCGCTTCGGGTGACTCGTCTGCTGAGTTCTCGGGGTTTGGCTCTCCTGGCGGTTCACGTACGGGGCGTGTCCAACGTCTTGGCCGACGCCCTGTCTCGCTTCGTTCCCCTCTCCATGGAGTGGACGGTCAACGACGAGTCCTTCCGTTGGCTTTGCCAGACGTTCGGGCGCCCCGAAGTGGACCTCTTTGCGTCGGCGTGGTCGCGGCGTCTTCCCGTTTATGCGGCGCCCTTCCCCGATCGCGAGGCCGTCGGGGTCGATGCCTTTCGGCTAGACTGGTCGAAGTGGGGGTTCCTGTACCTCTTTCCCCCGGTTCGGCTGTTGCTCCAGGTCCTGACTCGCTTGGAGACTTACCAGGGGAGAGTTGTCCTTCTGGCCCCTTGGTGGCCGGCCTAGCCTTGGTTTCAGGCGCTGGTTGCTCGGTATCCGAACCCGAGGGTTTTCCCGCGGTTCCGCCTCTTTCAGCAGATCGGGCCGGTACGTCACGTGGCTGGTTCGATCTTCTCCTTGAGTCTTCGCGTATCGTTCTTTTGACTCGAGTCTATCATCATCTCTATGGTGATCAGGTGGCCTCCTTGTTGGGGTCCCACCTGAGGGCTTCTTCTCGGCGGCAGTATGAAGTTTCCTGGCGGTCCTTCCATTTCTTTTTGCGTCTTCGTCGTGTTAGTTCCTTGTCTGTTCGGGTGGTCTTGTCCTTCCTCTCGTGGTTGTTTCAGGACCGTCATCTTATGCCAAACACTGTCGCTTTGTATCGTGCGGCGCTGGCGGAGCCGCTTCAGCTTGCTTTCGGTATCGATGTTACGTCTGCGCCGTTTCGCAAGCTGTCTTTTGCCTTGTTTCACCTCCGGCCTGCTCATGCGTCGCCTGAGCCATCCTGGTCTTTGGACAGAGTGCTCGCTTTCCTTTCATCTCCTCGTTTCGTTGTGGCGCCTTCGGTCCAGGATTGTTTTTCCAAGGCACTTTTCTTGTTGGCTTTGGCCTCTGGGGGTCGGGTAGGGGAGCTTCATGCTCTCCTCTGGCGCAGGGGTTTCTGCTCTTTTGGTCGTGGTGATTGTTTTGTTCATTTGCAGCCGTCTCCTTCTTTTCTGGCGAAGAATGAGACTGCTGCGTTCCGGAGGGGTCCATGGGTGGTTGATGCTTGGTTGGTCAGGCCGGGGGTGCATCATGTTTTGTGTCCGGTTGCGGCGCTTCACCGTTATTTGCGCGCCACAGCTTCTGTGTCCGGGGACGCGCTGTGGGTTGATCCGGTTTCCCTTCTTCCCTGTTCGCGGGTTCGGGTCTCTCAGGTCGTCCGCAGGGTTATTAAGTTCAGCCAGCCTGCGGTCTATCCCCGTGCCCATGACGTTCGTAAGTTCGCGGCTCTTGCTGCCGTCTTTGGGAATATGTCTTGGTCTGATATTCGGGCGCGGGGATTTTGGCGGTCGAACAGGGTCCTGGCTGCTCGTTACCTTGTGATTGTCCCTGGGCCTCGTCGGGCCTGTGTTGCTTTGGGTCGGCGGTTGCAGCCAGTTGTCTCGGCTTCGAATTGAGGAGTGAGCGACGACCGCCTCCCGGGTAAGTCCCTCTTCTTCTGTCTGTGGGTAGTTAGCTCCGGGGAGCCGACGGGGCTCCCCCCAGAAAACCAGCGTTGAATGTAATGAAACGCCATTTTCTGGGTGAGTCCCGGAGGCTCCCCGGCATCCCTCCCTCCCTCCGGTCGGCGGTTTTTCGCGTTTTTGACATCCAGCCTCAAGAACTGAGGTGTGGGTAGCCAGCGCGGGGGGTCTGGGGCTCCCCCTTCCCCCTCCCGGGGAGGGGGGAGCTGCGCAGACAGCGGCGCGGCGGTGTGTGACGTCACACTAGTTTGCTTGTTTTCGGTTGGGGAGTTCTATCCACTAGTTCGGTTTTTGGTAGCAATTTTAACCAGAATAAGGGTTTGTTTTGAGGCGCTTACCTTTCTGGGTGCCTGTTCCGGTCGATGGCAGACATAGAATGCTTCCAACCACACGGGGGCTTCTATAGGCCATTGCTTCCCTTGCCTCTCTGAGGGAGCCCGGTTCTGGCCGTAGTCCCCGGTAGGCCTAAGAACTCCATACACATGACTGATGCCAAAGTCTGACATTAGCATATCAGCCTGGGATAGCTCCGGGGAGCCTCCGGGACTCACCCAGAAAATGGCGTTTCATTACATTCAACGCTGGTTTTTTTTAATGGAACTTTTAGAGTTCACTATTGAAGCGAACGTGTTCCAGTAACATTTGAAGTTTTCGTCATCTCTGCCATGTAATTGAGGTAAATCAGTAGCAGGAAGACGATCTTTTTTTGTAGAGCTCGACAGTTGGGAGGAATTCGATCGTTTCTTTGTTGCAGGTTTCAGGAAATCTGTACTTATTATTATACTGGTTATTTGTGCAATTGTGAGTTGTCTGGAGCACAAGTATGGCGTCAATTCTTTAGAAAGGCTAGTGCGTCTGCACATTCCGGCTTCCATGTGTTAACTCAGGTTGGTGTCGCTCGCGCTGCTCCTTCCTCCCTGGATACGTTCGAGACGCTTTAAGTTTTATAATTTATTTATCGGTTATGGGAGTAAGAAGCTCAGTTATTTATAATATATTAATATTTCCAGTCTGGATAAATACTTTCTTTCGTATTTTAACACATAGACTGGAAACCACTTTCCCCAATTTTTGTGGGAATTTTTGGCTGTGCTTTTTTCCAACATATTCAATAGTGAACAAATCCACAAGGGCTGTGACGAGGATTCGAACCTGCGTCCGAGAGCATCCCAGACGCTGCCTTAATCGACCGAGTCGATTAAGTCAATTAAGGCAGTGTCTGCCTTAATCGACTGCCTCAGTCGAGCAGGTGTTGCTCGTATCAGGTGTGGTGGATGGCGGGTGATGAAATAGATGATCCTATCGGCGGGGAAACCATGTCCACACTCGGTGGGATAATTCTCACTTAATTATCACTAGGGACTTTCCCAACCACTGGAAAGTCTTCCCTATTTTCCCACTGTCAGTCAAATCAGTCATAAGTAGCAGATGACTTCATATGTTGACTGATAACCACAGGTTAGACCGAGGCCTGTCTGCTACCTCGGCTGAACACGTGATCACTCCACACTGAGTACTGCCTCAATTCCTTAATTTCTTTCTCATGATCACGCAGTTTAGATCCAGGAATGATCCTCAATAGCGGGACACCATAGGGATAAGGAAATTGATGAATAATGTGGCGCTATGGTGGGGGTGATGGCCTGACTTAGTCACCACCCCTGGAGAACACCTTGCCTCAGACAATGCCGCTCCTAGTTTCAATTTTGGTTGGCTTAGCCAGCATGGGCATGCCGCTTCCCAGTGTTTGTCTTGACCAATAAGAGAGAAGCCAGCAGGTCTAGCCATGCCAGATCCAATAGCAGAGCTTGGCTGTGGTCACGTGACATCCCGTGACGGCAGCAAGGGAGGCTTGGGCTGGGTAGCAACGAGCACCCCCTCCCCCCAAAACCGTTGGACCCAGTTTCAAGTGCCTCCCTGCTCTGCACACATTTTCTATGTAAAATATGTAAAATGCTGTAACTTCTTTCATTGAGCAGTTACAGACTACATCATAGTCTTAATGAACAATCCTAAGCTTGGGCGTTCTTCAGACTCCATACAAGGGCTTATTGTGTGAGAACTTCTTGTCTAGAGTGCAGCCATACACTCTAACATAAAGTAGAAAAACTAGCTGGGAATCCCATCCCCTTACATTCAGTCTTCAGCTACAATTTCTTACCAGGTGGGATTTGTTTTGTTATGCTTTCCTTTCTGGGTGCTTAACCCCGGTAGATGGCAGACATGGAATGCTCCCAAACACGTGTGGGTTTCCATTGGCTATTGCTCCCTGTGCCTCTCTGAGGGGGGCCAGGTTCTGGCTCGGGGTCCCCGGTAGTCATTACTCCTTTGACTGATGCCCCAGACAAATATAGCATATATCAGTCTGATAGCTCCAGGGAGCCTCTGAGGCTCACCCAGAAAATGGCATTTCATTATATTCAATGCTGATTTTTTTATTATTAGCCAGAAATTATTTACTTCCTTTAGCCATCAACTGTATCTCATTATCAAAAAAATATTACCTATTTTCAAACCAACATTACCCATTTTGAGTAGAGTAATTTCTCAACAGAGCCATTAGATGATGACAGCTGGGCAGATAATGATGACAGCTACCATGACATGTGCATTGATATCGAGGACAATACACAAGACCAACATGACATGCACATACAAGGACAAGACAACACCAAAGACCAACAAGGCATACGCATTGAGAGAAAGGGCAGCACAAAAGGCCGACATGACAGGCGTATTAAGAGAGAGGACAACACAAAAGACAAGCATGAAAGCTCCATTGAGAAAGAGGATATCATGCAAGACAAACATGACATGTGCACTGAGAAAGAGGACAGCACTAAGGACCACCATGACATGTCTGTTGAAACAGAGGATGATGCAAGAGACCTCCACGTTGACAATGCCTCTACGCCCATGCCGTGTGAAACCACTAACTATAACCAGGTAAGAAGTTTGAAAATTACTAGTAGTTGTTTTCTTTCTCATGGTTGTATATTTTCGTGATTTGTATAGTAAACTAATGGTATTCAAGTGACTGGTTATTTTATCTTTTTCATCTCTTATGCATACATTTCTGCATTATTTATCTGATTCTGTACTGTTACTCAAATGTTTGGAAAACAGGATGGTATCTCCTGTTGTAATTACCCCTCTGGATTATGCAGTTGATCTCTTGGCAGAACAGGACATTAAAGATTCAGGTATTTCTATACTTTTTAGTATAAAAATCTTAACTAATGTACAGTATTTTACTCCTGTTGTATGCTTCAACCTTCTTGGCCTTCAGCTCACATTCTTACTTTAGTATATTGACTTTGCTTACATAACTTAGAACTGGTTCAGGACAGACTAAAACATTATCACTTCCTTCATTTTCAGATGTGTGGGTTGGGTGTCTATTTAAATGCAGTTTTTGTAAATTAAGGATTTTTCTGGGGGGAGCCCCTTGGGCTTCCCGGAGCTATCCAGGCTGATATGGTATATGGTATATGATATGATATGGATATATTAGACTTTGGCATCGGTCAGTGCAGTCAGTGTGTATGGAGTTCTAGGCCTACCGGGCATCACGCGCCAGAACTTGACCCCCTTAGAGAGGCACGAGGAACAATGGCCTATAGAAATGCACATGTGATTTGGAGCATTCTATATCTGCCATTGACTGGGACAGGCACCCAGAAAGGTAAGCGCCTCAAAACAAACTTCTATTCTGGTTAAAACGACGAAAATAGACAAACGAGTGGATAGAATTCCCCAAATAAATATGAGCAAACAAGCATGACATCACATGAGCTGCGCCGCCTGTCTGCGCAGCTCCCCCCCTCCTCAGGAGGGAGAAAGGGGAGGAAGGTGTTGGTCGTTTCGGCCTTAGTTCAGCCCTCACCCCCTCGTTCTTTCCCTGCTGTGGTTCATTCTGTTCCCCCACCTTCCTCCCTGCTTCTGGCTCCGAAGTGTCTGAGGGCTTCGGCGTCGGGTCAGAGTTTAGGGGATTTCGAGACTCGGGCATATTCGGGGGTTGTCCCTTCCGAGGAGGCAACGGAAGCATTAAAGCCCCTTCCTCCAGCCGTAGCGTCTGGGTTTGACCAGTGGGCCTCTTCCCGCTTTTCCGGCTGCCCCGGTTTTTTCTTGTGAGGCCGGGGTTTTGGAAAAGGGCTCGTCCCAAAAACCTGAAAGGGAGGGTTCCTGGGGTTGGGGAGTGGCTGATTTGGGGGCCGTGGGCCCCATTTGACCCCACCTGGGTTTTCAAACCCTCTGAGTGAAGCTTTCTGTTACAAGGAGTGGGGTTTTTCCTTTCTCTCTTCTGCGTACGAGTTGGATTTGGATTCAGTTTCTCCCCGGGTTCAGTTCCGTGTCCCTGCAAGTTCGGTTCCGTCCTTCCGAAGGTTTTCGGCCTCCTGCGTCTCGCCTACTGAGGCGCGAGCAGCCATTGCGGCTTACCTCCTGCGCGACCCGGACTATGCATCTATAATGGATCCGTTGTCTTTCAGATTTGAGTCTTCATCTCCATACTGGATCTGTTATGAGATTCTGGAGACATCCTGACTTGTGTTTTTGTCGTTGGATGCTTGGAGTGCTTTCTGTCTTTCCCGCATGCTTGAATGGGGGAGAGGTGCGACCTTGAGCACCTTAACCCTTAACATGCTCAGGGTTTAACCCTTAACGTGCTCGGGGTCTAATATCCTGCTATCCACACAGGCGCATGTCATTTTGAAAAAAAAAAAATTTTTTTTTTTTTGCTAATCTGTTAACACTTTCGCTCACCCCGCGCGCCACCCCTCGACAGGGCGATATGGGCCCCAGCGTGTCACGGAAGCGCGCGTTAATTTCGAAAAGTGTATACTCTCTTCAACTTTGTCACCTCAATTCTCCTTCTACGAGATTAAATTTGGTATCATTGTGTTCGCAATAAAATTCTCTACAACACTAAATGCATATAAACTCCAAAAGCCCAGCTAATTACCCGCAGCAAACAGAGAAAGTGCGAACGAGTTACCCGGGAGCGCGCAAACGTGATAAAATGTTTTCACTATTTTCACTCTGGTCACCTCAATTTTTGTCCTAGGTCTTTCAATTTGGTCTCAATGGGTTCGTAATAAAATTCTCTAGAGGAACATTAGCATATAAAAAAAAAACCTGGTCACGCTCCAACCGCCGACGAGTTGAAGACGGGCCACGCGTTAGCCGTGAGTGAGTGCTCAGAGGCCTTCCTGCTACACTCCCAATTCCCACCCTTTTCAAGCCTTTCTTTCGCAATTTTCCTCCTGGAAGGGCCTTGTTCATGATTACTATCCATCGTGGAGTAAGCGTAGATAGTTTCTAAAGCCGCAGTAAGAAATATAGCCACGGGAAATAGCCGAAATGTTCACACGTTTGAGATGCGAGGGGAGGCGACATTGGTCACAACAGTGGAGCAAAGACAATGGGCCCACGGCATGTGCCAAGCCGCCTGAGGGCCACGAGGCTCAACAAAGAAAATGGGAAGACATCAGCGCACATTTTAAAACCAGTCCCAAAAAAATCGGATAAAAACCTGATTTTTGGCGAATTTTTAAAGTGGATGACGCAATGCTGCGTCATCCCTGGCATTACCGCCAGTAAACGGATGACGCAATGCTGCGTCATCCCCGAGCGAAAGTGTTAAGTTCTGTTCACTGATCACGGGAAAAATAAAAAAAAATTCTATTGTACTTACTTTTGTTGCAATAGAGCCGAGAAGCTCGGTGATGACGTCACAATCTGCATGTTCGCTCATGCAGTACACGCCCGGGAGGTGTTGCGCGCGGTCCTCAAACAGCCAGAGTTGCCACAAATATATTTTCGCGCTATTTATTTACAATGTCTAAGCGCATTTTATCTAATTTTTTTTCACTAATTGTGTTTCAAATACTGTTTGAACATATTTTGAATCAATAATTGTTGCATATTTGAGTATACACACGCGCACACAAATGTTTTCAATTACGGCAATATAATATGTCATTACAGTCTATTATATTGTATGTTCTGCTTATATTTGTATATATTTACACACACGCACACGCTATCTGCTTATATGTTTACATATTTACACACTCGCACACGCTATACACACTTTGAAGCACACTTAGAAGATTTCTAGACTGTGGTAGTCATTGAAGCAGTCGACAGCACATAATGGGATACCACACGTTTCACACCATGTTTGCACAAGCTTCCGTTTCTTGTCTCTACGTGTCGTTGTTTTACACACCAAGCAATCACGTTGGGCTATTGCACGCTTCACACCAGTTGGCAAATACTTAAGTTTGTGTGCTAGGAAGCCTTCAGTGTGAGCGAGGCGTGGAGTACCAGCATGCTGCAACAGTGGGTTTATGATGGGCCGCTGAATACCTGGGACATCTTTTGCAAACTTTCCTAATAACTGTATTGCAGCATCAAATACAAAGTCACGGAAAGTGGGCTTACGTCCAGTTCTCACAAGGTACATGTTGAAACAGTTCAGCATGCTCATGTCCACAAGATGGAAGAACACTTTTTTCGTCCACCTACATGTCTTCCGCACACACTCTGCAGTGCCAATCATCATGTCTGATTTATCAATCAACCGCATGTTGATATTATAGTCTAAAACACAGTCTGGCTTATATAGTGGTGCGTTTGTTTTATGGCTCACTTTCCCACTGTTCACCATTGTTCCATCATGAATTGTTGTCAACAAGTTCACCTCTCTTTTGTCTTTCCACCGAACTGACAGAATGTTATCACTTTTCCTTCTCTGACACTCACCAACTGCAATGTCGTTGTCAAACACAGGCATTTCCCTTCGTTGTGGCTTTACTGTACCAACCAATCCGGTTCTATTTTCTAGCAAGAACCGAGCTAGCAAGGGACTTGTATAGTAATTATCTGTGTATAAAATGTGTCCCTTGTTCATCCACGGAGCCATGATGGTCTTCACTACACTCCCCGAGAATCCATGTTCGTCGTTACCGGGAATGTCTACATCACTAGCCGTGTACAGAATCATGTGTAACACGTATCCTGTCTCACAATCACAAAGAACAAAAAATTTCAGGCCAAATCGGTTTCGTTTTGAGGGAATGTACTGTTTGAATGGAACACGTCCCTTGAAAAGTATGAGAGATTCATCAACCACCAGCTTCTGTGCTGGTACGTAAAAATCTCTGAATTTTCCAATAACATCGTTCATGTAGTGCCTCACTCGCCACAGTCTATCATCAGGTGTTCGGTCCTGAACACTTCCAAAATGTAGACACCTGAGGAGTATCTGAAACCTGTCTCGTGACATATATTTCCCGAATAAAGGTGTTGGTATTGTCTTGTCCTTGCTCCAATAGTCATTTATTGCATGTTTGTGACAGTGCTTCATCAACAAACAGAGTGCCAAAAACACATACATTTCCGCCACTGTGGTATTTTTCCAACGCTGCAGTCTTGAAAATTCTGTGATTTCCCTCTCAATCAGGTAAGCAGCGTGCAGGTTCGTTTGGTGTACAATGTATTCCATGAGTGGTTCATCATAGAATGCTGTAAAATATTCCATCTCAGCCATGTCCTCACCTTGATTAGGGAAAAGGTTTGTAATCCCTACATCTTTATCGTCAAAGTGAGGAATATTAGGAATAAAATCGTCACCATCACTCCATTCAAGTACACCAGGCGTCCTGCGAGATGCAGAGGAAAGACGGCGAGAAAGTGATGCATACCGGCGACCAGGAGCTGAATACCGTCTGCGAGAAGCACGGCGGCTACGTGCACGTGAGGTGGGTGCACGTGAACACGAGGGTCTTGGTCCCTCATGTGGTGCCATGCGGTGGCGCTTGGCCGGGCGAGATGCTGCTGACGCGACAATTTCTCGCCCAGTTACACCACTGGTACCAGCCACAGGCTCAATAAAACTTTGATCTGAGTCACTAAACCCAGAAAGGGAGTCACCTCCCTCT